GTTCTCGAACTCAGAGCCAAAGCATTGTTGATTTAATTAAGTTCAAGTGTGAGTGGTCTGTAATGCTGCTCTTCAAATTCACTTTGCATACATCATGAGCCACAAGTGCACTTAGAGCGAAGCCGAGGCCTCCCAGCCACATCCTCCATAAGCAATTACCGCAACACTAGACTTAAATGGACAAATATGCACGAGAATGAAATGAAATTTATTCTTATGATAAACTATCCTTAGATGTAATACTGACACAAGATAGCCTGGCTAACATCAGCACTTCAAAGGCATCAAGACCAAGAGGCATACACGCTCTCACACATACACAAACCCCACTGGCTATTATCAAGCCTCCAGACACCAGGCCGTCTCGGCCCAGTGCTGCCGAGCAGTTCTTGAGGTTCAGCTCTAGGTTAGTCCTCTGAGATTTGATTACCTTCATCCCCACTGGTTACTGGGGCCAGCTGTGAGGCATATTAATGAGATTTCACCATCATTAGGGAGAAGCTAAGTACATTAGCAGGCTGGCTGGTTGGCTGGCTGAACTGTAGTAAAGACTATTGCAGAAGAGGAAGGAGAAAAAAAAAAAAAAAGAGATGGAGAAAGAGACAGAGGGCTTCATCGGGGTCCTCCACTTAGCTGAACCCTATTCAGTCAGACTATTGCGCTCTCTGGGTTCCATTAGATTATCTGGACACACAGACATGCACACGTACAGACACATGCCGACCATCTGTACGCTACGTACGACATATAGACTTCCATTTGTGCTTCTGTACAGTGAGTGTGCTGGAGAAGAGACATCAGACAGACCACCATGCCGCAGGCTGCTGCATTAGGACTCGCTTTGAAGTCTGCTTAAAATAATGAGGTGGGATGGACGAAGGAACAGCCCTGCGGATAGAGAAAGCCTAGGGAGTTGTAAGCCAATGTATCAAGACTGTCCACAAAAACGAAAAGCAGCAACCTAAGAGCTGTAACAGAGCAGCAAGCGAGCAGAGAAGGGCATCATTCATGCACAGTGTTTGACTTTTACCAAATATTCTGACTTTATTTCTGTTTTTCAATGTAAGGAATGCGTGTAAGCATTACAGGCAAAAAAAATTACACACATATGTACAGGAATGCTTTGTCAGCACTCTTCAATTACCGAAGGGGGAAATGGGACCGCTTCCTTGCTTACGGGGAAATCCTGCCATTCTCTAACAAAGCGTCATAACAGCTCTCTGCTGAAAATGGACTGGGGTTCCATTCGCCGCTTTCACACCGATTACTGATGGCAAAGTCACGCACGGCATCTGAATATGAGCCGGAGCGAGGGCACACACACACATACACACACACACACACACACACACACACCAGCAGGCACGCACAGACTGACAGCTGTAAGGAGACGACCAGTGGGGTGTGTTTGTGTTCAAACACAGAGTGCGAACAGTTATTAGATGGGAGAAGGGGGAGGAAACTGGTGGTGAAGCCGACAGGCGTAAGCGAAAACACACGCTCACAAACAGGAGAGCCTGGGGAGGTTAACATCGGGCAGGAGTGGAGAGCAAAGCCTCCTCCGCTAAGTGAATTTTTCCAGTTCATCCTTGCCAAATGTGAGTCCTAGAGCTTTGAGCAGCAGTCATATTCAAATTTCTGCTTGTCTACACACAAAATAATCAACAATATATAACTGAGGTTTTCTTGGTGGAGGGCTAGCAATGGTAATCTTGTCTCCACAGCCGTTTTCATACAAACTGCTGGTAACGATGGGAGAATGAGGCGAGGACACATTCGCTTTAGCCCTCAGCAGGAGATAACCTGCTTTGGATGTGTCCACACTACAAGCATAGATAACAACAGGCTGACTGTGAAATCACCTGACAATTACCTGTGCTGCCCTAAAGCAGAAAATCAGCATAATCAGACATTGCACGGACTCTGTACTGGGGGCAGTTGGTGTAAAGACCATTTAACCTGTGATCAGCCTGAGATAGTGAGACATTTGCGCTCTCATGTGAAGTTCCTTCGAGCAATATCTTTTAAATCAAAATGGCTTATGATTACAGCTTAGTTTGAACAATGTGAGTGTGCCACCTAAACATGCAAAGACAAGGACTCATAGGTAAGACGAGCAGACTGCTCACAATCAGTGCTCATATGAAGCTGGGTTAGGGAGATTATTGGGGATTGCCTTACTTCCCTGGATGTGCTCCACCTAAGCTGCTGCATGTAAAACCTTCATTCTACCATCTGAACGTACAGAGAGGGGGCAGAGTGAGGTGACGAGAGGAGGTCAAAGTGACAGGAACGCATGAAGTTACAGGACTCTGTCACTAGCGGGTCTCCAGGCTTTCTGAGCATAATAGCGACCACATATTTCTGGAGTTGTGCAACAACAACTGATTCCAAGCCCTGTTTGAAGGTCACATGATTCACATATATATTTAAAATAACGCATCGGACGTCACACTGCCCTTAATGCAAAGGAAGAGAAGCTCAAACTGACAAGTTTAGCCTGATTATATCATTTTCTGCAGCAGATGTAACATCACTTCCACTTATGACATGAAATGACAGACTGGTATTTTGCAACCATTGCAGATATCTAGATTCTGCAGAGAGAGTAGAAATTGATGTGACAGCTTAAGTTTTTATTGTGCATCATGTTTTGAAGACTTCACTGACTCAAGACAAATTTTTGTTTGATGGATAACGCACTAAATTGGGGCCAAACACCCCAAGCCGCCAAAATCGTCCCATCCCATTTAGACTGCAAGAAAAACACACACGTATGTGAGTGATAAATGAGGGCCCGAGCAGAGGCCGAAGGGCAAGGCGGTTCCCGAGTAGGGAGTCTTTCTTGCCTGTTACTATGATCTCTCCTCAACACCAGGAAATGGTGATGTTTGTCTTGGAGCAGGAGTGGGGAAAACAGCAGGTTGGGTTTAGCATGGGTAATTTATCTTCACACCTGGACGAGCAGGAGTGTCTGCATGCATATATGTAACAATGAGATGCACTTTTATTTTCTGCTTTATTAAGGGAAATAACCAACAAAAATGTAGTTAATCAAAAAGTCTTGTATGAAAAGAGCAAAAGTTAAAATTTTAAATTGGCGGTTGTCCCCTTTAAGGTATCCTCGCGCAGCAAACACAGCTCTCAGTGCAGATGTTATGCTTGGATCTCTCATAGGAAGTCCTATTCTGACCACCTGCTGGTTTGCACTTGCAACTTTCACTGGATATCCTCAATATGTCTGAATGCTGACTGCTGCGTTAAATTTCAATTCTGAGAAGGGGACAAGCCAACAACATTTTTGGCTAAATTTAAGGTAGTCAAATGTTTCTCAGATACAACAAGATGATGAAAGAAATTCACATGACACTGCCAATAATAGGGTGAATTTACAATACAGAACTTTGGGAATTTGGAAGAAAACAATGTTCCTGGTTGCACTCCTGATCTGATAAGCGTTCTTTGGAGATACAGAAGGTTCTTTCACAAAGACCGCTGCTTGTTCTGTCATTAGGTCTTAACCAGAGACCACTCATCACCAATTACGATCCTTTTCGTGACTGCATTAGCATTACAAAAAAATTTGTTTACTCCTTTAAAAGTTTGCGGTCGATGAAATTGTAAATGTGCACCAGCAAATGCTCACATTTCCAGGAAGCGCTCCAGTTCTGCACAAACACTGGAAAACTATCTCTGCATTTTAAGACAACTGATGTGAAGCAGCAAATACGTTTATATTTATAAATGCAGTCAAACTGTATCTGGCACTTATGTAAATGTGGATCTGCCTCTCCAAACATGTATACTGTGTCATATTCTGTATGTGTCTCAGAGCCTGTGCGTGTGAACACCAGCATCTTCTTGTCAAGGCGAGGCCTGGTTTTTATCAGCGCAGTGGCCCCCATTATGTTCCCAAAGTCCTTCTCCAAGGGGCCCAAGAAAACTTCCCACTCTGTGCTGCCAGGACTCTGAAATAACAACACGCCAGGTTTTCCTATCACAAATGGAGAACGAACTGAGAACATGTGTGGACAAACTGGATCGTGGGGGGAGGGAAAGAGCAGAGAAATGAGTGATTCAGCATATGGCAAAGGTGAGCTCTACGGGTGCTAGACTTTTTAACGGAGACTTCGTGTTAACCTCAGTAGCTGCTATGTCCTGCTGCTGCTGCCGCCACATGCTGGCTTTTGGTACGGCTAATTCTAAAACAAGTTTCATAAATGCAATAAAACACTCCAACATTTAGGGACCCAACTGAAAGAAAAACAAAAAGACAAACACATCAGAAGGCATCCAAAGACTGCTATCTAGCTGGAGAGAACCACAAGATCCCTGGCAACAACGCTCCCCTGCAACCACGAGTGATGCGGTGTAACTCTACCCAGCAGCTGTCCGTGCCTGCTGACTGACACTGGGACTATGTGAATTGGCACTCGCCCCAGGCTGACTGGAGATATCTGGCATGAGCTGATGGTGTGGGACATGGTGGTGAGCACAAGGGGGCAAAAGGCAGCCCCTGTAAGCCAGAGGATACCAGGATGTGCTCTGGAAAAGCAGCACATTTTAGTAACCTGTCGAACTATAGTGGAGACTCCGTGATAGTGAGTGCAAGAATATAAGCTCTTGATTAGAGAGCCATTAATCCACATGATGCCCACAATGGATCTGCCATTGAACATGGAGTTACTTTAAAAAGCTGATCACACACATTTAGCAGCTGTATAGAGCTGAGTATAATGACTGACCTACATTAAGGGAGAGAAGGGGGGAGGGAGGGGAGCGGGAGGAGAGAACATCTGAAGAAAAAAGACGAGATGAGCGACAGGACCAAGGGAGGATGGTGACACGTGAGACAAACATTTCAAAAGCAGGACCCAGATAAAAGCGCCGCATGCTGGCATGTTTGCTTTTAGACGTTTAGTTCAAAGTAAGAAAAAGCAGAAGGTGTAACCACAGTGTAACCTTCCTTTGTCAGCCATTATAAAAGGGAATTTACGCACCGTTTCTGGAGTAACATACAGCTGGGTTACTTCAGTACAACTGAAGATCAAGGTCATCATCGGATCATAACAGGAACACATGCAAGTAAAACCCCGGCCCTTTGCAAACTGTTCTTTAATGTTACCACTGACTTTAAAAGAGTGCCTGCATTGGTTAATTATAGAACTATGCATGAGCAGATGACTGTGTACATGTTTTTGGGCTTTTTCCCCCTAAGACAACAAACTGTACTCGTGCACACTGTGAGCCAGGAGGGTGCCAAAACAATACTAATCCTGGGCCACCCAATACAGACTCAGTGTGTGGTCTGACAAAAAAAGCCTTGAAGGTTAGCATTTACTCATCTGGGTGATGCAGTTTTGCAGGGCCACTTAGAAAGAGTGCAACATAAGCTTCAATTCCCTCTATTCCCATAAAAGCCTCAAGGTCAGTGGCATTACAAGCAGAGTTGGAGGGTCAGGGGCCTGGAAATATTCCTGTGACCTTAAAGTAATCATGGAGAGAGACAGGTGCTGGGGAGGAAGGAACAATGGTTTAGAGAGTTTGTGAACACTGCATGTCTTTTTCAAAAATTACAGTTGAGTGATGTGAGACAGATGATTTCAGTTAGAGTGGAGATCATGAACACATTTCTGCCTTTAGCATTTAAAAACAACGACACACTAGGAAATGCTGGAAAGTGCATTTGATAAAGGAAGTGAATTACGTTCACACACATTAACCGGGCCCTATTCATCTCTATTGGCTGGAGTGCCACACACATTGCCTCTCCTGGTGTTTGAAGGCCAAAAGGCCTTCATGAATACTTGTGCTCTAGTGTTTGCACTTCACTTGCTAACAGAGAGGTTATCTGCCCATTGACACTCACTAATCCAATGTGGCTGGCAGCATTCAAAGTCCTCCGTTCTTAAGCGCATATTCAACAGTGGAGGAAGCGGGTCGTAAATATGGGAGGGAGAAAAGGGCTATTTGCATTAGAGGGCTGAAGTGGACAAGGAGAGGCCTCGAAGAGGTAGATAAAAAAGGGGGAACGAGGATCAAGAGAGGGGGGGGAAAAAAGAAGAGGATCACGAGGATCTGGAGAGAAGAGAGGATCACCAGGGACAGGCTTTGTCATGTTAAATCGCCTCTCTCAGCCCATGTTCTCCCTTTCTCCTCCTCCTCCTCTCTCTGGAGAATACAATAGTCAATCACAGGGGAATAGATTACAAGGGTCCGATCTTCTCAACTTCAGAGCAGGATAGTGACATTGGAAGTGGGCTTGAGGTCGCAAATAAGCGTGTGCGGGACTCAAGTGGGTGACGGCGTGTGCTCAGGGCGAGCAGCGACCCACAGGGCAGAAAACAGAACCCAACAAAACCTACAGAAGACCTTGAGCGCACACAACTTGAGCCAATTTCAGCAGGGCCAAATTTTAAATTTACAACATTGAAATCTCTACATCTATATATGCAAAACCCCACTATTTCATTTGTGTGCTAGTTAAGTAAATGAAAAACACACTTTCTAATTTTGGCCTCTTTCGAAACAACACAGCAGAGGTCAGAAGACAAATATTGGTTATGAGGCAATAAAAAATGCTTTAAAAAGTGCCTCTTCATCACGCCATTTCTCCCCAAAATTAAGAATCCTTTTACCTTTGTCACTTCATTTACTTGTCAACATGAGTTACAGGTTATAGTTAAACCTTACATCTGCCTTCAAGCCTCAGCAGGTTAATGTGCATTCCTCTAACATAGACTGCAAACATAATGACCATGGTTCCCTTCATAAATTAGCTAAAAGTACCAATGTCAGCTTTAGAGTTAAAAGGGCATTGTGCATGTAAATGGAGGCATTTGCAAGAGTCTGGACAAGATGATGCAGCCGGCGTGCCATTATCCTGTCACTAGTCTGTTAAAGAAGTCAAAGATGCTATGACCCAAGGGCTTTTTTTTTTTTTAACTAGATCGGCAAAGTGGTTAGAGTGGCCTAAAGACCCCTCGGAGACAGCTGACATATGCAGAATTGCCAGACGCAGAGAAAAACAAGCTAAATGCAATTTAGTGAGGCTGCCCATCCTTCATATACAGAGATTTGGAGCCTATATCATTGCCTGACGAGGCCGCAAATTTGACAGAGCCATTCTGCATAAAGCAATGCGAGTAAATCCAAAGACGAGAATAGCAGCTTATAACAAAAGTTCCCCTAAAGGCTGCACAGCCAGCCAAATCTTCTCCTGCTCATGCCCCCTAATGATGAGCGATGACAGGCGTTTTATTCAAATGTCTGGTGCACAGTGTCGGTGGGGCTCCTCTGTGAAGATGTGGGCAGAGTGAGGGGTAAAACTGGGAGGCAGCAGGAGGCACATTCAATTGCATTTGATGTCAGTGCCATTGCAATAAAAAAAAAACCCAAAAACAGAGGTGCATGTCAATAGCACTGGGACATTAGGTTTGCTCTGTGTTTAGGACAAATGGCTGCTGACAGCAGGCAGAGTCATTAAGGGAGTGCAGTGGGATGTTACTAGAATTTAATGGAGGACATGTTTAGCTTCCTCGGGTATGGGTCGTGCTCTTCCCTTCTCTGTGGGTGCTGTCTCTGTCTCTGCAGACACTAATTTCCTGCATGGATCCCTGACCTTTCAATATAACCTGGGGGAACCATTTGATCACAGCACAGGCACACATAAACCACACACCATTTCCTGTGATATGGCTGCCCACCAGTCAGTGGGACTGTTTTTTGTCAGACGACATTGCCTCTTAGAAATGGAAGCCTTTATCATAGAACATCAAGCAACTACATCTTCTTTCCCATTAAGGACTCAACTTCCCTTTTTTTCCTTCTTTTTTTTTAAGAAACAGTAACAAAACTGAAACTGACTGACTTTCAAAAAACAACAACAATCTAGTTTATAAGTTTTGTGAGGTCGCCATTATTGTCAAACTAGTTTAAAAGTGAAAACATGAGTACAGTTGTGCTCCAAGCCAAGCGCTTGGATTTGACTGGTGTTAAAGCTTCCACCTCTCCCTCCTGTCCTTTTCCCCCCAGGGTTCAGTTAACCCCAGCTGGCCTTTGCTGATTCAACTGCTGCCTCTGCCAGCCCTGTGACCTGGGCTTCATTATGACCCTCGGGGGCGACTGGGTCTCGTTTTGCTGCGACCCAGTTCCACTGCAATAGCAATGTATGCCACTCCCAGTTAACTCTGTCCATTAAGCTAAGTGGGGCCCGTCAATTATTCAACAGTTTCCAATGTATAATTAAAGAGATAAGGTGTACTGTCATGAATAGCGGCACACGCAGGTGAGGAAAGACAGCAGTACTTTTAATTCAGCGTTCTTTGTTATCATATATCTCTGGATGGCAAATTTTTTCCCAATGTGATGAGAGGGATGTTCAGAGAAACAATAATGTTAATCAGTAATAAAAAGCAGCAGCAGGGTGTTTCATAATCATTAGATAAAAGACAGGCGAGAGGACAAAATGAGGAAGTGGAGAATTAGGGGAAGTGGTTTAGCATAGGGATGATGAGAAGATGAGAGCTGCATAGAAAGAAAAAGATGCACGGCCCAAAGGATGGGTAGAACATACTCTGTGTTTTTATTCTCATGCTTTAAAAAGAAAAAAACCCAGCTCATTTATAAATCACACTGAACTCAAACGAGAGTGAGTGCAGAGAGAAAATTAGGCCATAGTTTTAAAAGCAAGAGAAAGCAGATTTACAGAGCTGCCCGCCCCCCTTCCCCCCTGCTGTGTAGGTGTGCGTCCTGGGGGAGCCCGTGATGTTAATACAGTTATTAAGCCTCTCCACTGAAGCCTGCTCCACCTCCTCTACCCCGAGCATCAAGGAATTCTCTCTGCCTGCCAGGCAGCGGGCAAGCTTGCCTCTTCCACAATGAGATCAAACAGGCCCAAGTAGGCCAGCTCAGGGGAAGCCTGTGATGAAGCGTCCCACTGAGCAGCGAGGGCAGGTGGGGTTGGGTATGTCAAGCCCAAGGAGAATCCCAGCAGGCTTTAGGAGAAAGGGTGGGGGTTAGACTTTAACCTTGCAATAGCTCCTCCTTCACTTCTTCGTCTCTTTAAAGTCAGCTGACCAAGATTCCCATGCACCTCTTCTTGGAGTTGGGGATTACAGCCATGAAAGGTTTTAGTGAATGTATATGAGAGCTGACTTTTTCTCTCGTTAGCTTCAAGGATATGTGCAGCCATCAAGGAGGTTTGCAGGTTGATAAGACGTGCACGGCGTACAGCCAGGAACCCCCCCCCCCTCCTCTCTATCTCACAACCTAACTGGTTACCCCTGTAGCAGGGTGTAGGTGTGTGTGTCTAATCGCTGCGTTACTGCGTTATAATTCAGACAGGACAGGGAAGATTAGTGTTGCCACTCCTGCCTGTAGCCAAAGGGAGCAAATTTGGGCAAACATCTAGATAGCGTGCAAAAGTTGTTTTTCTAAAGTACTAGCAGGTTTTTTTAAACATTTTATTTTCCACTTATGTGCAGCAGTTCTTAACAGGAATATAAATGAAATGGCTAAGTTTTGACAAACATTGTGACAATGCTGGCCAACTGGCTCGCACACATCACAGGAGGGCGTTTTGTGTCATGATGACACTTGAAACTAAATGAAAGGAAAGAAAGTTAATGACTAAAGAGATGGGCAAGATAAGGCGTAATGTGCTGTAACGTGGTAAATAGGACGGGGATATAGGTCATTCTGTACCAGACTCAGTTCGCCAACACTGGCCTGTTGGCAGCTAATGGATGCAGGCCAAGTCTCTATCAGTCGCACTAGAACACTAATAATATGAGTCACCGTGCCAAGAATCTCTCCTTCTCTTTCCCTCTCCCAGTTTTATCCCTTTACTCGTTTGCCCCTCTTCCTCCTTTGCCATTTGTTCTCTGCTGCTTTTTGTTCAGAAGGAGAAAAGGCCAAAAATCCAGAGACCAAAAAAATGACATTAAACCCCCTGAAAGGCTCCACAGAGATTACTGTTTGAAAATGCCAGCCCCTGCCCGCCTCCCCCTCCTTTTCCCTGCGCCTGAGATCTCTTTTTCCTCTCTCCCTTTACCTCCATCTCAATTTCTTTCAGCTGAGAGGTGCTGACAGCCCAGACACAATAATCTGGCTCTATTGTGGAACTGCCACAGTGGCAGCAGCGCTGTGCAAAGGTTTCCCACGTATGGCGCGAGGGCAAAGCGGGGTGTCACGTCACGGCGGTGCCACTGAACAGTGCCGCTACAAGGGGGTGGGGGGGACTGGTAACTACTTGCAACAGAGCACCATGCAGAGCTGCTTGACAACTCCAGTTCAAAATGTTGTCACCTTTTCCATTAGTCAGCTCCGGGGCTCAAGCAGAGACCGAGAGGAGGGGAAGGACTATCTAAAATCAGAAGTGTAGGACAAAGCACAAAGAGGGCTTCTCTTTGATCACAATGCTATCACTGGGAGCACAGAAAAGATTATTTGAAGGTTGTTCGACTATGGTCAAAACAAAGCAAAAGCCCAACACTGGAACACCAACTGAATTATTTAGTGAGCTCCATCATATCTTTGGGCAAACCTAGTGGAGCAAATGTATTTCTTCATACACTTTTCTCCATTTCCTTCATCTTTTCAGCCAACTATAAAAAGCCTTCTACAGGTTACTGTTAAAAATCTCATGGAATAACAGAATGCACCCTCTGAGCTCCAAGTGCTGCATGGCTGCATATTTCCCCGTAAGCCCAGCCTTAAACTGAAAGGATATCCATGAAAACAGGACTATTTTTTAAAGAAAAAAAAAAAAGGAAAGGATTAGGAAAAGAGAATCATTTGTGTCTGATTTTTAACCAGAGTAGAGAGTGTGTGTCATCCTGAAGGCTGCGTCGTCTCTGGGTAAGAAATTCAGAAAACCAGAAGGTCGTTGACTTAGGTCCACTCACTGCAAAACGAACAAGCAGCAAGGAATTCCGGCACATTATTTTTCCCCGGAACAAAGAAAGGACCTCGGCATCTGACATAACCATTTAATTAACATGATATGGGCCTAGAAACGCTCTCTCCTTACTATCAGCCAGGGTACATCAATAA